GTGGGTCCGGTCCCGCTCCGATGTCGATTCCATTCCGGTACCTCCATCCTCGTACCTTACCCCTTACCCCTACCCTACCCACCCAACCCCCACCCCGCGTACCCATTTTTCCCTTTAATGACCTTACCCCACCCCCCACCACATGCCCCGACCTCGGCCCCACCCCGATCCACCCTACCCTACCGCCACCCTCTACCACCTCGACCCCACCTCGATCCACCCTACCCTACCGCCACCCCCTACCACCTCGACCCCACCCCACCCTACCCTACCCCCACCCCTCGTATATTACCACTTACCCCTACCTTACCCCTTACCACATGTCTCCTACCTCGGCCCCACCCCACCGCCATCCTACCCCCACCCTCGTACCGCCATCCTACCCCCACCCCCACCCTACCCTACCTCGGCCCCACCCGGATCCTGGGCCCATCTTACCGCCATCCTATCCCAACTCCCTACCCTACCCCTACCTTACCCGAACTCCAAACCCTACCCACTACCCCCACCCCTTATCGCCATCCTACCCCCCACCCCACCCCTTCCCTACCCCGGCCCCACCCTGGTCCCGACCCCACCCTACCGCCATTCTATCCCAACTCCCTACCCTACCCCTACCTTACCCCAACTCCAAACCCTACCCACTACCCCCACCCTTACCGCCATCCTACCCCCCGCCCTACCCCAGCCCCACCCTGGTCCCGACCCCACCCTACTGCCATCCTATCCCAACTCCCTACCCTACCCCTACCTTACCCAACCCTACCCACTACCCCACCCTTAACCCTAACCACGACTCTAATCCACCCACTACCCCCCACCTAACCCCCAACCCCTATACCTTACCACCCCACCCCGACCATACCCCTTACCCCACCCCCACCCATAACTTCCCTACTTTGACCCCTACGAGTAGGTATGTGTGGGTATGAAGGGTTGTGGTGGAGTATGGGTAGAGTGTAAGATCATGGTAAGGGTAGAGGTATGGGTCAAGGGTGTGGAATTGGAGAACTGTGTGAAAAATTGATGAACATGTTTTCAAATTTGAAAATGGAAAACTAAAAAATAGAAACAGAAAATTGGAGATAGAAAAACTGAAAAATAAAAACAGAAAATTGGAGAACGAAAAACAGAAGTAGAAAATAGGAAAATATCTCTGTTAGTAAACAAGCCCTAATATTTTTTGTGTAAAAAGTCCGTGCAGTGTTAAATCATTTTCAAAAATATTTTTTGTACTGATCGAGTTCGATCAGATCCACCCGAGCCTGCAACACAACCGCCAAAGTTCAAAGGAATCCAATTCCAAAACTTTTAAATGCTGCATACTCTTGCATTTTTTGCATTGAACCTAGAGCTTTGTGTCATTTACTCCCTTGTGGCTTGTACTTGTAACTCACGGGTGGCCTATCCTTATCTTGTTCGTTAGCAGTTTTAATTTAACTCACGGAGTCACGGGTGGCCTATGCAGCTATATATGCTTGTTGATGGTTAGTTTAGTACACTTTAATTTACTCCCGTTTTCTTAACACTTTGACAAGCTCGAGTCACCGAGTTACTCGATAACCATTGATCTTTTTTGGAATAAATTTGAAGTGTAGTGATTTTATGGAATTTTAAAAGTTACATACACTTTCCAGGGTTGTATTTAAAAGTTCCTTACACTTTCTAATCTATGAAAATACATTATTACTCTTATCTGTTTACTCTCACTCCATTATATCCTACCCTACTATTCTTTTAATTATATTCTCTCACCCACTTTTTCCTTCATATTTTACTTTACTCCGTATTATTTATCTTCTCTTTCTTACGTTAGTTTACCTCTATTATTTCATCTTAAATTGAGTGCCCAAAGCTAATAATGTAAGGAACTTCAAAATATGTAGAGAGTACTCCGTATCATTTTTGCTAATTCATTAGTAGGATCAATATTTTATTTACATCAAATTATAAAGCACTAATATAAGGTAATATATTGCTAGATTTTTGGAATATCGAGAGCTCTTCTCATCAGGCCGGCCTGACGGGCTGCCCCGTCCGGCCGAGCCCGTTTGGGCACCTTCCCGGTGGAATTTTTTGATGAAATTTTTTGAGCATGTTCCCCATCAAGTCTAGTTTGTCCATACCAAATTTCAGCTCAAAATTCGATCGGGAAGGTCGTCAAATGATTTTTGCAAGTTAACTGGTCCGGAATATACATATTCCGGACCAGTTAACTTGCAAAAATCATTTGACGACCTTCCCGATCGAATTTTGAGCTGAAATTTGGTATGGACAAACTAGACTTGATGGGGAACATGCTCAAAAAATTTCATCAAAAAATTCCACCGGGAAGGTGCCCAAACGGGCTCGGCCGGACGGGGCAGCCCGTCAGGCCGGCCTGATGAGATGATTTCTCTTGGAATATCTATATTTTAAATTTAATTAATAAAGGGCATGTAAGGAATAAATTGTATTTAGATTTTGATGATGCTAGATTTATTAGACATTAGAGCAGAACCCCTTTAGAAAATTGTATTAGAAATTTCCATATGTAAGCATTAGAGTAATCGACTGGACAGAAGACCTTCAGGCCCTCTGTTGGACTTCTACTGAACAGAAGACCTCCAGGCCCTCAGTGGACCTCTACTGGACAGAAGTGATCGAGGCTATTTGAGATTGCCCCTCTGTGTACATTAACAGATGGCCTCACACTTAGAGAATTTCGCAGCTACCTAAGCCGGTTAAACTAACGGGATATTCTCTTAACGGCTAGGAGTCTCTCAACGGGAAAGCTACAATACGCGCATTAAATGGCCATTTAATGTGCTTCACACGTTGAGATATTTAAAGCTGATGATTGACCAATGATCCAAAAAGAATATCTTTATGCGCCAAAAAAATGGCAAGTCATCTGCTTTTGGAACCAACCACTCAAATCTATAGTACGCACATTTAATGCAGTTGTCTTCTTCCTCCAACTGGAAGACAACTCTAGTGTATAAGATACACCATGAAGAACTACTCGGAAAACTTTTGCTCTCTCTACGAACATTCAAAAAGCTTTCTTGAGATCTGAATTACATATTCCTCAACCAGAAAAGCTTAAGTTGGAAAAGATATTTTTTCCATATCTTCCATATCCAACCAAGAGCAAACTTCCTACAGTTCTTCAACTCTTCAAGCACTTCATCTACATACCTTTTGTGACAAAGCAAGTTGGAGAAACACCTGCTTTTACAAAGAAATCTTCTTCTAAAGAAGGGCGTCGAAGTAACTGGATTAGTGAAGTGGGTATACTTCAAGGAAGCTCAGTGAAAGGACCAGTCTTAAAGAAAGTGACGTGCACTTGTCGTGAGGTGCACTCAAAATAATTATACAATACAACAAGTATACGTAGTATAACGAAGTAAGGTTCGTATCCGCAGGGAAAGGAATACTTCTCTTTTATATTATAAACTAGTAACAAAGGGGGGTTTCAAGTTTGATTTGATTTAATTAATTCAACATGAAGATGAACGAGTTATGTGGTTTAATTAATGAGAAGAAGACTTGGCTTTGCTTTTATCCACTTAATGAAATGTTCGTCGATCCCGGTTATATCTTTAACTATCTTCCTCTCGAATACTCAATCGAGGAGTATATCCAGTTCATCGAGGGTAGTTATTAATAACGAGAAGCGTTCATTAATAAAACTTACTATTGAGTCAATATAGAACAAGCGCCGTATATTAACTTGATAGTAGCAATAAACTTAAGATGAAAACGATTGAGATTGATAACCTCAACACAAGCGGTGTATTGGTTTAATCAATATAATTAATTCCCCTTGGCTTATTAACCATGAGAAGCATGCATTAACAATCCAAATTTACTACCATCGAAAGAATCGAATTAATAACAAGCGTATTAACCGATTGATTCTAGTAATAATTAATATATGAAACAAAACTAGTTGATCCTTTAAGTAATGTTCAAAATATTAATATGAAATATGAATAGGAATTAATTAATACTCAAGGAAGAATATTAAAGAAGATGAATCCTACTATAGTTAATATCAAGATGTTAACTAATTGTCATCTTAGTAACACTCCCCAATATTAACATAGAGGAAGAAATAGCTATTACTATAACTAATGTCAAGATGTTAACTAATTGTCATCTTAGTAACACTCCCCAACATTGATATAGAAATAGTATTTAAAGGAAGAATTAATATTCAAGGAAGAAGATTAAAGAGAATAACTCACAACTTACAAATTCATTAAGCTTCAAAGTAGCAAAACCAAGATTGAAAGGTTTAGCTCCTCATTTGGAGACTAAACATGAAGAAAATATAAAGAAAGAACTTATCTAGACTGAGCTTAGAAGTATATTGGAATTGGTTTTTTTTCTTGTGAAGAAAATGGGGTGTATTTATAGGCTTTTTAGGCTTGCAGGGTCATGTACCCGATCGGGTATATAGGGTACTCGACCGGGCCTTCAGTTTCTTCGCGGAAGCTGGAAAAACATGGACATACCCTGTGACACTCCGAAAATTTAAAAAGAAAAGAAAATAAATAATTTAATAAAATAAATTATTCTATATAAAATGTTAGAGGTGACATTTGAATTAGATAAAATTTTGACATTTTAGATAAAAGAGTGTTGATTAAAAAGGCTATAAGTTAGAGCTAAACTAAATTTATTATTATATACGTAAACACGTACATACATGAGAAGACTTGACTTGTGAACATAATAATAACAACAATACTAGTGTACAAAATTTGCAGCGTACTACTACTTAATAAGGAAGACATTAACTAGCCATATATTATTATACCTAAGATATTAACGTACGATTTCAAGGCCTCTTTGCATTCCATATGAATGCTGCGTTACAACGTTAGAAAAGGAAAGCTCAATAATTGGAACTAAATGCAAAAGATTTTTAACGTATAATTAACTCGAAGCCTAGAACCACCATGCGTGTGTATATATAGACCTTGAGATCAACCTTCACTGCACCATACCACATGAGCTACAAATTAACCTTCAGCGTATATATATACTATACTCAGTAAATATATATACGTAACTCACAAACCTACACAAAAAGATAAAGAGAGAAAGAGGAAGGAGAGAACGAAGGGGGTAGAGACGGAGAGACGACCGCTGCCGGAAGGGAAGGAGATCGCGGGAGTTAGCCGGTCTATCTTTCACGCCGGAGGTAAAGGGAGGAGCTATAGCCGCTGCGTCACCGGAGTGGGTTGCTGCCTCTGAAGACCACCGTCGCCGAGAAACTCCCCTACATACCTTTCCACCGTCCGTCGTCCGGAAGAGGTAAGCTTGCGTTTCCTTTCATTCTTCCGGCATGTCATACGAAGAAGGCAAGTCAGTGACTCTTTAGGAACGGGCTGATTACATGAATTAATCTAGTCGGGTGTTTAACTAAAAATAACTGGACTGGTTTACTAATATAATCCTATAATCAATCTGTAAAATAAAAGGGAGTACTGATAATCTCAAGCGGACGGAAATGTACGTAATAATGCAGGCCATATAAATGATTAGGTTGTTATTAGCAAAGCTGGATAATAATAATAATAATAATAATAATAATAATCATAATAATAATAATAATAATAATAATAATAATAATAATAATAATATTAATAATAATAATAATAATAATAATAATAATAATAATAATAATAATAATAATAATAATAATAATAATAATAATAATAATAATAATAATAATAATAATAATAATAATAATAATAATAATAATAATAATAATAAGTTAAGAGAATTTTAATATATTATTTTGGTGAATTGTCGTAGTATGGTAAATTTAACAAACCAATTATTTGGCCTAAGATGCATGACTGACTATTGTTATAATCAGGCTAAATATTGAATTCGATCAAGTGTATTACCAAAGGTAAAATTAAATGGATTTACAACAAAATTAGCATATGTTAATAGTATGATATTGTAATTCATCAATCAGATATATTAAGAATAATTACATAATTTGGACACTTCAATTAAAATAGTTCGGCCATCTTACAATAGAATTATTCAGAAGATGCCTTACAAGCATTTTTTTTTCAAGTTGTTGAATTACAAGTAGAATCTGGATGAACTAAGTCATTGTACATTTTGAATGTTTATAATACCTCTAATTCGGCCAGTTCAATTGAAGTTAGAGACTCTTAAACGATTGAACAAAATGGATTAGAATAGGAGCATCTAACTATTACTACAGAGTATTACTTTGATTCTCTTAATCGGATTTATTTATAATAATGGACCAATTTATTATGGAAGAGCAAATTCACTAATACTTAAACCGACTTGGTATAAATAAAATACGGAGTAATTAATAATGGGAGAATAGAATAAATTGACGTTTTCATAGAATAGTGGACTAATTACGAAAGTGGAATAGTGGACTAATTATGAAATTGTGATAGAAGGTGATTATTTAGAGATTGAGTTAGAGGAGGTGAACTAAGTAGGAGCGTCATCAATTTTGAGGTAAGTTTCTCTGCCAATCCAAAATGGTTTCCTCGTATTATATGCTTATTATGCATTATGTGATTAAGTGTGAATTGTGAATTATGAGTATGTGATTTTGAGGAATACAAATTAAGAGTACTTTTTGGGGTATTAAATATTTTTAAATACCTTTGAGACTAATTAGAGAGATTGGAAAGTATTTTTGAAGTATATCTTAATTCAAGATAAAAGTAAAGATTTTATAAGAGGTGAGCACCGCGGGAGAAATCCGCGGTGTCGGTTTTCCACATCCGGATAAATGTGGAGGGTGATTAGGGTTACTACTACTAAGAAGTAAAGTTTGAGTTTGAAGTATCATTTGGATCTATGATCCCTTTTAAGAAGAAGTTATAGTAGTAGTCCCTATTCATTCAGAGATATCTTATTCAGGGGTAGTTGGTAGACTGAGTCCCGATTACTCGTGACGACTTACTACTCGGAGGGCTTGGAATCCCTTTTTGGGGGTGTGCACACTTAAGGTAGTCGTTTCGTTTCCGCAAGAGCAGTTGTGGTACCGGCACTTGTTCGGGGTGGCCGTCCGTAACCACGGTCCACCGGGCTCAGTCGAAAGGTTGAGCACCGCCCTTCTAAATTACTAGGAAGTTAGAGAAGAAGTGATTTTTGAGATGATCAAAGAAGAAGAGAATTTTTATGGAGTGTGTTATTTTTATATAGTATTATATAAAAATCTATTTTTGCCAAACCTGATTATTTTACGGGGTTGGGTAGTACTTACTTAGCTCTAAAGCTAATTTTTGTTTTCTTTCTTTGTTTTGTTTCTGCACGATATTTGTGCAGGTGATGATGGTTATGTTGATTGCTGAATGCATGCGCCTGAGAGCGAGTTAGAAGTTGCCTTAGTTAAATTTAGTCTTGAAATAAACACTTATTTATTTAGTTTTATTGTTTTGTTTTAGTTGCCTGTGCATCCGGTTGAGAGATGACCGGATGTGGCGGTAACACCCATTTCCCTATTTAGACTTCCGCTGTACTCTTTAAATTTTATTATCAATAAATAAAAGTTTTATTTCAATCATATCAATGTTTTTGGGCGGGAAATTAGGGGGTGTTACAAAGATTGCCTCATCAAATTTGCCAATGTTGTCTTTCCCATTGTTGTGGACGAAACATTTACACCCAAAAGTTCTTAGATGACTTATGTTGGGCTTCCTTCCTCTTAGTAGTTCATAGGGAGTTTTTCCTAGGAGTGGACGGATCATAGCTCTATTAATGATGTAGCATGCTGTGTTTAAAGCCTCGGCCTAGAAGCTCCTAGCTAGACCGCTGGAAATAAGCATTGTTCTAGTCATGTCCTCCAGAGTTCTATTCTTCCGTGCTACTACTCCGTTCTGTTGTGGAGTTCTAGGGGCAGAGAAGTTGTGGTCTATCCCCCATTCCTTGCAGAATGCATCAAAGAGTGAATTGTCAAACTCGGTTCCATGATCCGATCGGATCTTGATTAATTGTAGCCCTGTTTGGTGCTCAACTTTCCTTACAAAAATAACAAACTCATTAAAAGTATCTTTCTTGCTTGCAAGAAAGATAGTCCATGTATACCTTGAAAAGTCATCAACTATAACCAAGACATACTCTTTATTTCCCCTGCTTCGGACTGACATTGGACCACACAAATCCATGTGAATTAGTTCTATGGGTTTGCTTGTGCTCACAAAATTTTTTGTTTTAAAAGATGATCGTGATTGTTTTCCGGTGGCACAAGCGGAGCAAATGTGATCAAGTGAGTATTTTACATTTGGTAGCCCAACTACCAAATCATTAGTTTTAAGTTTATTTATTAAAGAAAAACTAGCGTGTCCAAGTCTCTTATGCCATAGTAGGGGATCATTATCAATAATGCTTAGGCAAGTTATACTTATATTTGGCAATAAATCAAGATCAACTGTATAGGTATTTTCTAGTCTCTTGCCTTCGAGTATAACTTGCTGAGATTCGTTGTTAATAATGCGACACACATTATGATTAAAAACAACACTGTTACCTCGGTCACAAAATTGAGAAATACTAAGCAAATTAAATTTCAAACCCTTGACTAAAAATACGTTATCAATTGCATGGTTAGGTGACTTTCCAACTTTGCCCACGGCTATAATCTCTTCTTTGTCGTTGTCTCCAAACGTCACCTTTCCACCGCTAAATGGCCGTAGTGAGAGGAATAAAGATTTGTCTCCCGTCATGTGCTTAGAACAACCACTGTCAAGGAACCAGTGATTGTTCCCCCTCACTCGGCGCTGTTCCAGGATTAAGGGTTAACGCGTGGAACCCAGACTTGCTTGGGTTCCATTCTGTATTTGTTTGAGGAATATCTAACATGATCATAGCATCTTTCTAAAGTCTTTTGCCGAGAGTGACATTGATACCGTAGATGACCGATTTTGCCACAATGCATGCAAACCCGGTTGTCATAAGTATCAACGTATTTAGGTTTCCATTTACCATAAAAGTCTCTTGTACTTTTATGAAAAGTTCGGTTAGGCGTTTGTCCATAACCGTTTTTGTGCCTCTGAACCAGTCTATCGAACCAGTTTGGTCCAGTTCTAGGTGGCTGTTGATATGGTCTAGAACTGGGTTGTCCTCGGGTTCTATTGTCCTTAAAGGGTTGGTTCTGAAAATTTGATTTTTGATTAGATCGAATATCCCTTGGAATATATCCGAGACCTGCAGTCTCGTTTACTTTCTTATTGTGCTGAGAAGGACCAGTTCCAGAATGATGTCTAGACCTGGTTTTGTTCGTTGCACTATAGGATTGATATTCTGGTCTATTTTTAAAATCAGTGCACTCGGCAACAAGACTATGAAGATGATCAATTAAACAACCAACGCTCGGTATTTTTGAGAGAAGCTTTTCATCATGATCAACTTGTTTGTTCATACTATCGAGCTTAAGAGAACAAATAATTTGATCTTGTTCTAGAACCACTTCACTGTACTTAAGCCTTTCATCTATTAACTCTCCCACTTTTGTTTCAAGCCTTATTTTGGCTCTCGTGGCTTCCTCGAGTTTAGACTCAAGCTCAGTGACACGTGATTTAAGATGATCGTTTTCGGAAAGGCTTTGATTAAGCTCAATAGTCAATCTTTTGAAAATCTTCCGAGTTTTGGTTTTGGATAGAGAGTCAAACTTGGATAGAAAATTTTCAACGTTTACCTCAAAGCTTTCTCGGTCGGATTCCTCGTCGGAGAGTGCCATAAGACATAGACCCGCATGATTAGAGTTCTTATCATTTTCTTCTTCTTCATCATCGGATGAGTCTCCCCATGCGGCCATCATCGCCTTCTTGAGATCTGTATTGAAGCCTTTGTCTTCGCTGAACCTCCGGTTGGAACTGGACTTGTTCTTGTCGTAGGTTTTCTCATTTTTCTTTTGTGGGCAGTCCTTAGCCCTGTGCTCAAAAGAACCACAAACAAAACAACCTTGGTTATTAAAGGATTGAGTATTCTTTTTACCTTGTTTGGTACGGTTGTTCTTGAACTTTCGGTACATCCTCCCAAATTGTTTCGCAAACATGCTCATCTCATCATCCGATTCACTTTCGGATTCTTCCTCTTCTTCTCGAGCCTTTAGAGCTATTCCTCTTTCTCGTCTAGCGTTCTCGGCATCTTGTTCTTCTTGTAGATCCACTTCATATGTCAAGAGTGATCCGGTCAAGTCTTCAAGCGTCATGGTGGATAGATCTTTTGCTTCTTCAATGGCCGTGGTCTTAGGCTTCCATACCGGGGGCAAGCTTCTTAAGAACTTTCTCACTTGATCTTCCACAGTAATCTCTCTTCCAAGGGCTGAAAGCTCATTGATGATATTAGTAAACCGTGTAATCATATCCTTAATTGACTCTTTAGGCTTCATTACGAATAATTCGTAATTACGCATAAATATATCAATCTTAGATTTTTTTACACGTGACGTACCCTCATGAGTAACCTCGAGCAAATCCCACATTTGCTTTGCAGTTTTGCACCCTAGAACACGGTTGTGTTCAGCAGGACCAAGACCACAAATCAAGTATTTTAGAGCTTGGGCATTATGCTCGAGTTTTTGATAATCATCGGTAGTAAATTCAGCCTTAGGTTTAGGAACAACATTACCTTCGCCGTTAAGCTTTGTGATGACATTGTCGCCACTTTCTATCACGTTCCATACCTGGTAATTATCGGCTTTGATAAAGTTCTCCATCCGACTCTTCAAGAATTGATAATATTTGCCATTGAACAATGGTGGTCGTTGAGTCGAGTACCCTTCTTCCAATCGGTCAACCGTATTCATTTTGCCGGATCTCTTCCCAAGGTATTAGCCTCTATGTGGTGAAGACCGGCTCTGATACCAATTGATGAAACGGTTAGCAACACAAGAGGGGGGTGAATTGTGTGTGTGTGTGGAACCGTGGCAGTTTTTCGCACAGTTCTAGTGTGGGGAGATGGAAGTTGCGAAATAGTAAAGTGCACAAGAATTTAACGAGGAAAAATCCCTTGGCTCAAAAGGGATTAAAAAACCTCGACCTCCCTCGGAAGAATTTTAAACAACTTCACTAAACAAGCCTTTGAAAGATTACAAGAGTGATTCTCCTAATCTACCCTTGAGCCTACCCAACTCTATCCTCTCTAGGAAGAGTTTCGCTTCTCTACCTTGCGGGTAGAGAGCCTCTCGGCTTTACAGCAAAGCCCTCATAACACACTTGATCCCAACCCGAGGAAGCTACTCTTAGCTCGTCCTCAATAACCCAATTACAATATAAGAAGGGAATAAGAACTCTGTCTAGAACTTCGGGAGCAGTTTCAGATGCCTTGGACTTAGTATTTCTCTTGAGTGTTTCTCTTGATATTTTCTCGGTCAAGCACACACTTCTCTTCTTCTTGATCTCGAGTATATAAGCTGCTCAGAATGGATCCGTTGAGGCTTTCCTTTTTTTAATTGATCAATAATGATACTTGCCTTGTTATAATTTGAAAAGGACATTCCATCTTTGAGTGCATGGATTTGGATCATAAATATATGCACGTATAGAGATGGATGATTTGTGCACTTAACATGTATAAGTCAACAACCAAGAATAAACATTCATATATAGGAAGACAGATCATTCACTTATCATGTAGGCTAGCACCGAATCACATGTATTTAAATCAAGAAGCTTCTTTTAAAAATAAGAGACTGGATTGATTGCTTAACAAAAATAAACATGCTTGGTCAACTTTCAAATAAGCAATCATTTACTTGTAGGCAAATATTATTTTACCAAATAATGATTATTCAAACCGTATGGAAAAGAAATATTTACTTACCAATTTAGGATGCTACGGACCATTAGCTAAGTAACGATTCTTTCCAAAAAACTTAAGCTATATAGGTCAATTTATTTAAGTGGTGTCCAATCATACATGGAAAGATATTAGATTGTGCCACATATATTTAGGGAGTGCAAGGTGTCAAGGTACTTAGATAAGGAATTAATCATGCAAGCACACAATTCGTAAGTGCTATGGTCAATCACCAAAAAGGTAAGAAATTATTCTCAATATAAGTAAGAGTGCAATGGCCAGAATAGAGATTCTCCCTTTTTAAAAACAATTACCTTTTCTAAGTGGATGCACTCATATTACTTTCCATAAAGCATATGTAGCAACACATTTCACAAAATATTCAATCAATTATGGAAATGTATTAATGCATGTAAAATATCATACGTTGAAAGACATGCACATGCAGACACATACCAAATTATGGGACCGAATGTTTCGTGGAACTGTTCTGTCCAGAGTTCATATTAGAACTCTTCGTAGTCGGTTCTGTCCCCCGTTCCACCTGCATGGTTAGTCATCAACAAAACCACATACTCAACACACATGTACGCATATTTATAGGCCTAGGTACAGGTACCGAAATGGTAACCTAGAACTTTGGGCCTAAGGCCTTTTTGGACCCTATTCCCTTAGCTCATTTATTCTTTACATAAAGGCTATAAAAGATAAGTCTATTCTAATTGGGATAACAAGACTCTAGACAAACTTGATCACAATAAATATTTTCCTCAACAATTAGGGATGCTTTTCCTTTTGCTAATGTACCTACATCTTTTAATGCCGCTAAGAGTGTAATTAAAGATTTAGGACTGGGATATGAAAAGATACATGCTTGTCCTAATGATTGTATGCTATTTTGGGATGAAAATCAAAGTGAAGATACATGCAAAACTTGTGGTGCATCGAGGTGGAAAGTAACAGAAGGTGAATCTGCTAGCGGAGATGATCACACTAAAAATAAGATCACCAAAGTAGCAGCAAAAGTGATGAGGTATTTTCCTCTCAAACCAAGATTGCAACGAATGTTTATGTGCAAGGAGTTCTCTGAAAGTATGATATGGCATGCAAGAGATCGAAAAGATGATGGGAAGTTAAGATATCCCGCGGATGGTCAGGCTTGGAAGGCAATGGATGCTAGGTATCCACAGTTTTCATTTGAACCCCGCAATGTTCGATTTGGTTTAGCGTCTGATGGGTTTAATCCTTTTCAAACAATGAGCATATCTCATAGCACATGACCGATTGTGTTAGTGAATTACAACCTACCACCTTGGTTGAGCATTAAGGAAAAAAATTTAATTATTTCAACACTAATTCCCGGCCCTACTTCTCCTGGGAAGAATATTGATGTGTATATGCAGCCTTTAATTAGTGAGTTGAAAGAATTATGGAATGTTGGGTTAGAAACTTATGATGCTCGGAATGATGAAACGTTTTTGCTACGGGCTAGTATACTTTGGACAATTAGTGACTTTCCTGGTTATTCAATGTTATCTGGATGGAGTACGCAAGGAAATCTGGCCTGTTCGGCATGCCATTACGAGACTTCCTCAATGTACTTGAAACATAGCAAGAAAATGTGTTATATGAATCATAGGAAGTTTCTTGATGTCAACCATGAATTGAGATTAGATAAAAGAAAATTCAATGGTGATGTCGAAGTGGGAGACAGACCAAATGAGTTGTCTGGATTAGATATTGAAGACCTATTAACTGGGTTCAAGAATTCATTTGGAAAACAAACGAAAAAAACTAAGAGAAATTCCAATATTCCATGGAGAAAGAAGTCCATTTTCTTTGAGTTGCCATATTGGAAATATAATTTGTGTCGCCATAATCTTGACATCATGCATATTGAGAAGAATATTTTTGATAATATATTGGGGACTTTGTTGAATATTGCTGGGAAGAGTAAAGATCACTTTAATGCTCGTTTTGATTTGCAAGAAATCGGGATTAGGAAGGTGTTGCATCCCACTTATTCTACCGATGGAAAATACATCGAAATTAGACCTGCTATATTTGATATGAATGACAATGAGAAAGAGTTGTTTTGTTCTGTGCTGCAGAACTCCAAATTGTCACATGGAACTGCTTCCAATATTGGCCGTTGTGTGCAAATGAGTGCGAGGAAAGTTTCAGGATACAAGAGCCATGATGCTCATTTTATCCTCCAAAATCTGTTACAATTCGCTATGAGGAAATCATTGAAAAAAGAGGTTGCTTTGCCTTTGATGAAATTGGGTTCATTCTTCAAGAGTCTGTGTAATAAAGTTATTGATCCAAATGATCTAGAGAAGCTTCAAAAGGTGATTGTGGAGACAATTTGCCAACTTGAAATGATATTTCCTCCGTCATTCTTTGACATAATGATTCATTTGTCTGTTCACTTGTGTAAAGAAGTTGAGCTTGGTGGACCGGTGTATACCAGATGGATGTATTTTATTGAGAGATTTCTGGGAAGATTGAAGTTTTTTGTTCGTAATAAAAGTAAACCAGAAGGTTCTATAGCAGAAGCATACTTGGTTGATGAATGTTTGACTTTCTGCTCTAGATACATGGGTGAGAATCTGAAGACAAAATGTCATAGCTCCTCAAATAAATCTGAGCGGGATGGGTATCCTTTGGGGCTTGGGAGGAACAAAAATGGAAAGGCAATTCATCTAGATGATGATACGTTCATCAAATCTCATCGATACATTTTATTCAACTGTGGAAGTGATGAAGTTGAAAAGTTAATGAGGTTAGTAGATTCCAGGAGTTTTTATTATTGACATTATAACTTTACTTTATAACTATTGTACTTAATTTACATTGCAGGGAGCATAAGTTAATAGTTGAAAGCTTTGCGAAGGCAAAGAAGTATAAAAGAGCTCGAGCACATGGTGAAGAATTTCACAAGTGGTTGAAGAGCGTGGTTATGCAAAATCGTGATGTTTCAAAGCAGTTATTAAGCTTGGCAAAGGGTCCAAATCGAGTGGCAAAGAGGTTTAGTGGTTATGTAATAAATGGTTACAAATTTCATACCATAAGTAGAGATAAAAAGCGTACAACTCAGAACAGTGGTGTTTTTTAAAGGCCCTTACCACATGCTTTGCAAGTTCCAAGGATCAAAATCCAATGATAGAAGACATAAGTTATTATTTAGGTGTTGTTGGTACCAAGAAGAAAAGGATGATTATTCGCTTCTTCGAGTTAATTTCAATAAATTGTGTTATAAAAATGACCCTTTTGTGTTAGCTACACAAGTACAACAAGTTTTTTACATTGAAGATGCTACTGAAAAGGGATTACACTATGTAGTGAAAAGTTGTCCAAGAAACTTGTTTGATATAAAAGATACAAACAAGGAAGGTGAAGAGGATATTGCTGAACGTCCATTACATGATAGAGACGCGATTAATCAATGGGAGTGCATTTGAGAAAGAGAAGATGTACCAAGAACAGAGATTCCCATTGAAATGGTTGACTATGTGGTGGATAAACCTCACCCGGATAAGGAAGATATAAATGAGATAGAATGACATTATAAAAAGGAGCTGGTAACGCAAGATTTTTTGGGTAGTATGTTACTAACTATTTTTTGTTAATATGCGTTTAATATATTCTTTATTATTTGTTAATGTTATTTGTGCTCTCTAGACTTAACTAGTGCTTGAATTGGTTTGGAATGTGTACAGAATATTAGTTTGTTGCATTAAAATATTTTTTATTTTAATGCAGAATGGTAGACAAAGTGTTTTCTTTGAACTTCATCACTGGCGGAACATTTCTAAAGACCAAATACTTTGGTGGATATCGTAGGAAGATTAACAATGCAATAGATGTGGAGAGATTTTCATATGCTGTCTTGATGGAATATGTGAAAGAAGATTGTTCTTTTGAAGAAATTGGAGGTGTTTATGTTCCCAATGCCAACAAATTAGGATGGAAGTTGCTCACAAATGACAATGATGTTATAAATTATGTGCTTGCGCATGAAAAAGATGATGTTATTGATTTTTGGATCGACAATGTAGCTGATGAGGAAATCCCTCCAATGGATCAGAATCAACCACATGTTATTGTAAGGCCAAGAAAGTGCATCTTAACAGGTACATATACTGAATTCCTCATTTTTAATTTTATACTTGTTATTATTAGCATGATTTTAAGAATGACATTATTTGTTTATAGGATCAAATAATCCACCAAAGAGAAATGTTTTCATGCTAAAGTCTGCTAAAAAACATCATGAAAAAGCAAAAGAAAAAAAATGCATCGCAGAAAAGAGCAAAATGAAGGCAAATGACAAGTTGGGTGTCAAACATGTTGGTGGACACGTGAGTTCATTTATTTATATAATTACCAAAAAACTAAACTTCAGTTAGTATTTTTCCTATGTTTTTCATTCATTTAAATGCTCAGGATTCACATTTTGGTAAGGATGATATGAGTCCATTGAAGGCAAGATCATATGAACAGATCGGGTTGGAAAACATTGAAGCTAACAATGAACGCTTGACTGCACTTGGGTTGAGTAAGTTATCTGTAGAATTGGAATCTCGTGGTCCAGAATAGAAAAGGAAAAGAAAACTAGGGAGTCTAGAAGAAGGCCATCAGAAAACGAAGGTAGAAAATGTGAAACAATAGTAGTTTTTATATTCTTTAGCTAAAATAATTATTTGTAATCCAGGCCTTGGTGGAAAAGACCAAGGAAGCATCTTGGCCAAAAACACGCTCCAGATCCCATGTGCATCAACTGTTTGATGAAAATGAATGTGTAGTACCAACTTCTAAACATGTACTATTTGTAGTCAGCTCTCAAGTTATTATCTTTATGATTGGTATAAATTAATCAATATTTTTGTTATTTCTTATTTCTTTCTTTATCTAATTTAACATGATTTACCTATGGATTGTATTAATCTGGTGCATAGGTTCTTAGAATTTATATTTTTCTGACTTATTTTGCAAAAGATCATTACTGAACTAGTGCAGAAGTGCACTCGTAAAGAGCCCTTAAAAGACCATAATGAATTAAGAAATGGAGAGATAGGATCTATGTCTGCATATCTAGCTTTGAAGAAGAAAAGGCAAACGATTGAAGTCAGAAATGAGGGAGATTCAATCGAGATGCAGGATGCAGTGGTTCAACATGACAATACTGAAATGGAACAAGAAGCACCTAAGAAAAGTACTCATGAAAATCAGCGAGGTAACATAGTATTTCAGTTATGTCACAGTGTATGTGTTTCAAGCACGCGTTGCTGTGTTTTGATTTAAAGTATCCATGTGACAGAGAAAAAGTGTAGAGGACCAACGAGAATGTTTTCTGTCCATACAAGATATGAAGAAGAAAAGAAAGTGATTGACTTGAATGAGTTCGATCAACCGGTGGCAAATGATGATAAGACAGTACAATTTCAGAATTCAGTAATTTCTTGGGAACTTTAGCAAGACAGTGTGTGCCTCTTTGTTGTGTCAACTGGCATGCATATCCTCATAAAGAAGCCTTGTGGACATATGTCCAGATAATAATTTTTGTTAAAGAAAGCATTAAACCTTTTAGACATATGTGTGGGTTAAAAAACTATGTGTATATTGCTTAAAATGTAATGTTTGCTTCAGGAATAATACACAATATCTGGTGAGGGAAAAACTTGGGTATTGAAGACCATTAATGATACATGGAGGTGTTACAAAGCTCGGATTAAAAAGAATTATTATAAAAAGTTCTCTACTAATGGCGAGAGAATGGAAAATAGGCCTCAGGAGATACCCAAGGATGAATTTGAGTTGGTCGTGCAATACTGGTGTGACAGTCTGAAAAATTGAAATAAAGTATATAATTTTTCTTAGTCACATAAAATGTTACGAAAATCACATTTTAATAATTGAGTGAATCAGTTGAAATTTTTACATCGGTGACATTTTTAATCAGATAAAAATGTTTCAATAGTAAAAGTGACATTTATAATAATATGCGTATAAACGTACACTAAATATCAGACGAAAATAGTAGCAATGTTAAAAGAGTTGACTTTTCAGCCAAATGTATATAAGAAGTATGAATTACGTACCTAATAATAATAATAAAATAATAATAATAATAAAATAATAATAATAATAATAATAATAATAATAATAATAATAATAATAATAATAATAATAATAATAATAATAATAATAATAATAATAATAATAATAATAATAATAATAATAATAATAATAATAATAATAATAATAATAATAATAATAATAATAATAATAATAATAATAATAATAATAATAATAATAATAATAATAATAATAATAATAATAATAATAATAATAATAATAATAATAATAATAATAATAATAATAATAATAATAATAATAATAATAATAATAATAATAATAATAATAATAATAATAATAATAATAATAATAATAATAATAATAATAATAATAATAATAATAATAATAATAATAATAATAATAATAATAATAATAATAATAATAATAATAATAATAATAATAATAATAAATGATAGATGCGCACAAAACAATAATGATATACTACGTATGATATATATGATACAATGTATTGGCCTATCATTCACATGCCTATACAATCCACATGCATGTACAAACAAGGAGACACACATGACACATATAATTATAACCCGGCCAGACTGCATGATACATGAATATATTAGTTAGCTGGCCTTATGATGTACTTCGTATGAACCAAATGCAAATGGACCCAAAACCTTTTGTACTTGCGCATGGAAAACTTAGCAAAGGAAATCTTTTAAATATATACTTCGTATATACGTACTAACGACTAGCAAACCCGGCCACATGCATACGTAGAAAGTGATAAGATAAACCAACGAAGCAATCTTCATCAATGTACCAGCTAGAGCAACGAAACCTTCGGATTGGACCTATAAATACATGATCTGTATATTGAACATCTCCACATATGGATATGCACATAGTCATAGATAGTATATGCATATATATACTCATCATACCACTTACATATAATATATATACCTTCGCTGCGGCAAATCCATTTACCCGAAACCGAGAGCCAAAAACCATACTAAGCCTTTGGTGAGTAAGAGAGAAAGAGAAAGAGAGCGACGGAAATAGAAACGATCACCGGAAGAGGAAGAAATCGCTCGCCGGAGTGGCTGCCGGACTGGTTAATTTTCACGATAGAGAAGTAGCTATCTGATAAGTTCGTATTTCAACACGCATTTGATGCGTGTTGGGGTCGGATTTTGATAATTTTCCTAACTTTTGGGTGTCGTAAGTCTCAATTTTAGCTCAAGTCATGTGTATCGGGCGTAGGGTATGAGTTTTGGTATTTTCAGAGTTGAAATCAAGTTTTTGGGACCCGGCATCGGCATTTGAGAAGAGATCGGGACGAGTTAAGAAGCATTCGAGAGTGAATTCGCAGTTTTGGAGGCCACCGGGAGATTCACGATGATGTTTTGATGAAGAAAGAGCTATTGGATCGATCGAGTGGTCAAACGGAGGCTTAAAACGAAAGAAATCGAAGTAAATGAAGAAGAAAGGCCACACACGGCCGTGCGTACAGGGACGCACGGCGTGCGTGCGTGGCAGTAGCGGCCAAGAAAAGTAATGAGCAACGCACGGCCGTGCGTCCGGGTACGCACGCCGTGCGTTCAAGGCGTTGAAATCAGGGAGGCTACTGGCAGCAACGCACGGACGTGCGTAGGGGAACGCACGCCGTGCGTTGCCTATTTTCACGCGCAGGTCCGTCGGACGCACGGACGCAACGCACGCCGTGCGTAGGCTCCGTGCGTACCGCGGATCTGTCCTTTTTCGACCCAAACTCATTGTTTTCTATAAAAAAAAGCCTCCCTAACCCCGTTTTGAGGTGGGGAAACCTAGAGAGAAGCTTAGGGACGAATTTACTTGCGTTTTTACGATTGTTTACTCCAAGACCCTGGGATTATTTGTAAGTTCATCTTTTTAATTAATGACAATTAATTCTATTCATCTCAATTCTGTTGATTCTTCAATTATGAATTGTGAGTAGTTTAATTAGGGATTTGGGGTTGATGAAGGGGTTAATCATGATGTATGGCTAGATTCTTGTCGGTTTAATTGCATGAATGCCGTTTAATTTGTGTTTGAATAATTTAATTGATATCTCTTGTAACCTAGACTGCAGCTAGAATTACAATTGCATGTAGAATGAATTAAGAGAGATCTAATTTGTTCTAGGACACATTCACACACACTTAATCGTTCGCTAAGAGATTAGTAGCGATTAAGGGGCCGTAAGCTCGCTCGTCTTGGCAATAATTTAGGATCCTGTCGCATGAGAGATCAGCCTGGTCCCCTAAATTATTGTACTCTACGCCGCGAGAGCGGTAAGAACTTAGTAATGATTAGCTAGGCTCAATTAAATTAAATTCATGTAATTAGGCTTGATCTGTCAGAAATCTGGTTACCCCGGAATCAATCCCTGTTCCCTTCGTCGTTAATTGAGAAGAAACCAATCTTTTATTTTTATCGCTCATTAGCATTAGTTTTAATTTTAATTCAACCAATCAATCTCGCACACTTGCATTTATTTATTTTTATTTCTTTTTAATCGCTAAAGTTTAGTTAATCTTTATTTCCCTTTTGTCCGTCCCTGTGGAGACGATACTCGTACTTTACACCACTTTTCTACAACTATTTTTAAGTGCGAGAAAACTCACATCAGTTTTTGGCGCCGTTGCCGGGGACGGTGTCGGATTTAGGGTTAATTAATTTTAGCGACTTGTTTTTTTTTTTGTTTTTCGTAGGATTTGTTTTTTTTCTACTAACCTTGCAGGTCAGATCTGTTTATGCATACACGCTCTAAGAAGGGAGAATCACTAGTCCCTCTTAATCCTGAGATCGAGAAGCTAGCTAAGCAGAACCGCAAGGCCTTTAGAGAACAGAAAGCAACCATGGATCAACCATCCGCATCTGGGACAGCTGGGACGTCTGAGGTCCAAACCACTTCTGGTAATCTGGATTTTTATGTTAATACCTCTCCCCAGTCTTCACAAGAAAATTCACCTAGAGCTTTTCCGGGGTATCAAAATCTCCGTACCCCATTCTTCCACCAAAATCAGTCTACTCCACAACTAAATCTTCCACCACTCTATCAGCTCTTTCAAAATACTTCTATTGCTCCCGAAACCACTTTTCAAAATCAAACCTTTGGGATGCAAGGTCTAGGGCAAAATAATCCAGTCTTTCAGCCCAGACAGAATCAACCGCCAGTCACACAAAATCCACCCCCTACTCAGCCACAAAATCAGCCTTTCCAACCCCAATATCATCAATTCCATCAAACCCAACCTCAGCCAAATATCATCCGTCCACAACCCATAAGACCACAACCAGTTCATCAGCCGAGATATCAAGCTCCTCCTTACCACAACTATGTTCCACATGACAATCCACTCTATCAAGGAGAGAGCATTGCAGACTTCCTAGCCCCCGAGATCACAGAGTATGACAGCATTCAGGTACCGGGGATTACTGCACCCCGTTACGAGATCAAGCCGGCGGTGATCAATATGGTCCTAAATAATCAGTTTGGAGGGAGCCCTACTGAAGATCCAGTGGCACACATTACCAAATTTCTGAGGATGTGCCAGACTTTCAAGATTCCTGGGCTAGATGACGATCAGGTACGAATGCTACTATTCCCTTTCTCTTTGAGGGATGACGCGCAGAGGTGGTTGGATAGCAATCCACATCACCACATTCAGACTTGGGATCAACTGCACAAGGCCTTCATAAAAGAATACTTCCCAACATCAAAGGCCATAAAGTTGAAGAAGCAGCTACAGGAATTCAAGCAAGGTTCTTTGGAGACACTAGCTGAGGCGTGGAAGAGATTCAAGGTGCTGAGAAGAGCTTGCCCTTAAGGCAAGATGACTGATTGCGAGGTTCTATCTTGTTTTTACAGTGGACTCAACAATGAAGGAAAGATGATGCTAGATGCTTCGGGAGGTGGAGCTTTTCCTCAGTTGCCATCTGAGGTAGCGGAAGAATTAGTGGAGAAGATTGTGACCAATAATGCTTCATGGTACAGTTCTCGGGACACACCTCACCAGAAGGCCCCGGGATTGTACGAGATCAGTGAGAATTCTGCCCTTTCTGCAAGGGTAGATGCTTTGACCAGTTTAATTCAGAAGCTTGCTACTACGGTGGACGACAATCAGAAGAAGACGGAACTTGCTCTCTCGGTGCCCAGTGTGAATATGGTAGCCCCCGTTCCTATTAGTCCCTCTTGTTCTATGTGTGGGGGACTCCATTCGCCACATGAATGCACAATGATGGCACACTCGGCAGCCCCTGGAGTAGAGCAAGTGGATGCGATGTATTATCAGCGACAGGGCTATTATAATCAGCCCTACGGACAGCAGCAGCAAGGGCAATACGGGAAAGGAAATCAGCAGCAGTCAAGAAACTTTAATCAACCCCAGGTACCTCAAGGCCAACAACAAGCACCTCAGCCGCAGCATGGGAGTTTTAGAAAAGAGACTGAGCAAAGATTCTCTAGTTTGGAAGACACATTCAAGAAATACATGCAAGTGACTGATGCAAGGATGCATAACATGGAAACTCAATTGGGGCAAATCTTTAAGGCTGTATTTGAGAGGCCT